TGTTTGAGTTAGTGTTCCTTTAAGTAGTGCCTTTTCTAAGAGCTAGATCAACAAATCTAAAAGAACAGATGCTCAAAATTTTGTATCTTCACCAGTTTAGTTCCCTTTTTAACTCTGTCTATGACAAAAATTGTCCCTATAGCTCAGATGAGAAATTCTAAGAACATCTTAGTTCTCTGAAGTCCTGCACCCTGACTGTTTCAGCAAAGACTAAATCTTTGGAGAACCAAAACTAAATTCCAAGAGTTCTCCAGAGCATGTAAAACTAAAGCTTTTCAGAAATTTGGGCTCATTCCTTCAGGAGAAAGAGAGGTATATTCCTAACACCAGAGCAACCCACTACCACAATGCAAATTCCAGACCAAAGACATAAAGGGAATAGAGCACCTCGGCTGAAGAACTTCAATAGTCTATTATAAATTGGCCAAACCCATGTATTCTGTGTTTGTCTTTTTCTAACAGCTGATCCATTTTACTGACAGTTCAGGCAGTACAGGCAGCAACAGTAATGTAGTCAGCCTGAGACACAGAAAATTTCAGCTTGTAATTTTACATTTCATCTAAATTATAAGTAACTGAGAGCAGTTTTATTGTGGAAAGTGTCACGCAAATTGTAATGGGAGGCAACATTGTGTGCTGCCCTTAATATAGTGCCAGATGATGAAATGTTTGGAACATTCAGTAGGCATGCTGAGCATGTATGAATATTATTGTTATGTTTGCCTGAAGGAATAATGGCACTTAATGGCATTACTTAAATACTTCTCAGAACAATGCAGAATGTTTCTGCAGCTCCTCATCTGTCTGCTACACCTCTAGAAAGCAGCAATGCCTCCATGACTGCTAAAACAATTATGACAAACTTCATAAATAAGATTAATTCTTCAGGATTAATTTCCAAATTTCTTTATGCAGTGAATAAGAAATTAAGTTAAGAGTAGATGTTTTAGGAAGTTAGGCAGGGCTGGAATGAGCTTAAATGTTAAGATAGATTAATAAGTAGAATATTGTGTTCATTTGTGCTAATTATTTCCTTAGAAGGCATCCATCCTATTTAGGCAATTACACAGCCTCAATCCTATTTAGGCAATTACACAGCCTCGAGTCTTCATTTCTTACTGGTACTACCAAGGGACTTCATCTGCTAGTTCAAGTTTGAGACTGTTAATGTGTTTTTAATAACATAGATTTAGTTTGAAAGATGCTCTTGAGCTGTTTCCATGTGAATATTCCACACTCACAGAGAAATGCATTTAATCTAAATTTAAACTGTAGCTATAGTAACCAAAATTCACTGTGTTTCAGGAGGGCATATATAAGCCTACTCAGACAGAAGGAAACATGTTGTGTTAATTATCATTCTATCAAAACTCTACAGTTTGTATTTTGGAAAATAATTATCAGAAATTATTAATTCTTACTACTTAGGCTTAGAAGCAAGAGATTTGCAGGCATGTATTCTAATGTCTCTTATAAGCTGGCTTTGTGGGATTTGATGGAGATTTCCTAGAGCAATCCTCAGTCTTAACAATTAGGGTTAGTGTTTCACTTTCAGGTAGATGATCAGAATTTTTACTTGAGCCAGTCAGTGATAGATTCTGTAGATGATTTTGCAAAGGTAGGTAACATCACTTTTACAGTAATGTCCATATTAATCAAGGTTAGTAAGGACATGTCCTTGTTTCATTCCTCTGAGCATAGAACTCTAAATGTTGCCTGATTTTTGAACAGCTTAAATCAGAGAGAGTAATCTGTCCCCAGCATGCTTTTCCCAGACTCCCATGTCTGTGGAGAGGCAGTGCTGTTCTGCTGGTGTAGGGCAGCCAAGACTCCTCAAACCCAGTCCTGCATTTGCCAGAAAACTGCTGCCTGGCTGAGGAAGTGACCTCTCTGTTTCAATCTGCTTTAAATGTTTACTTTAGGTATAGTAAGCTGCTGGTGGTCTTGGGAGAACAGGTATCAAATATTTCATACAAAGTGCTGCTATAATCAATGTGTGTTTCTTTATTTGTGTTTTCTTTTCCCCAGAGTTGAAAGAAAGGAGCGTGCACGTTTGAAGACGGTGAAGTTCAACGCGAAACCCGGTGTAATTGATGCCAAAGGGGTACGTAAATACTGAAACCTTTTGAAATTGCACTTTACAATTGTTTTATCCAGAGTAGAAAAAAAATTAGCAACATAAGGGATATTTATTTAACCAAGACCTGCAGTATAGTGAAATGTAGATCAGAGATTTGTATTCTATAATCTTTGGAATAATTATTCTTTTTATAATAATACTGAATGACAGTGCCTCCTAAGGGAAAGATACTAAGAAAATAAAGAGCATTCCATGATAGCTGTGATTTTATTTAAACAATGAATAGAGAAGAAAAGACTTTAAAAATGAATGCAGATGCATAGCAGTTTAATGAAATAGGACTAGAAGTATAAATTCCCTGGCTTCAAAAGCTGTTAAATCACAAACCAAAGGTTGTAAGTTAAGGAGTCCTGGATAGAAAAAATGAGGTTTTGGGTGTTCTGCTTTGACAGTTGTGACAGACATTGAACACAGGTGTGTTTCACACCAGACACCAGTGGCCAAACAACACAAAATGTACAAGTTCTGTTCTTCCAGCGCTGCCTGGACAGAATAGTTCTCGTGCTGCTGCTTTATTGTGCCCAGGTCAGCACTTCTCATTAGCCTGATGGCTTCTATCCTGTCCGGTGCCATCTGGCTGGCAAGTGTTACAGCAGAAGAAATGCCCACAGACCTGGCTGTTAAGGTATATTTTTCTGCTGAAGTGTAGCTTGCAGTTGTAGCAGTAGTGAATACTTGACATTTGCAGGGATTTATTTTTGAAACCCCTCCAGTTGGCATGTTTGGAATTTACAACTGAGGGCTTCTGTGAGCAAACTAGGAGACAGAGATTCAGCAGCTATGAGGGAAAAGTCCTGCTTGGCTGCAGAAAACAGAGCAGGGCCAAAACTGTGTGATGAGTGAACATGACCATAGGTAGGTGCTAGCAAGGGAATAACCAAGTGGTTCAGCAGGTTCCTTCCAGACCTGCTGTTCCTGTGGTCTTCTGCCTAGTTTGAAATTCTCCTTCTTAATCTCTTCTTCCTTCATTTTCTCTCCATAATGGTAATACTAATAATTCCCTTATTCTGTCTTTTCAGACAGATTGGCAGGGTATGAAATTCCTCTTCCCATGGGCACAGAGTTCCTAGCATAGGGGTTCCTAAGTCTCTACACACCAGCAAAATAGTATTTTACACTTGCAAATACTTCCCTGATACTGCTCTACAGAAAAATCCCTGAATTCAATGCAAATGCAGAATTATGGCTTGAATATTGACTGAAATATTGTTGAATATTGACTGAAACAAGTTTTCCAGACTTACAAGGCACATGGGACTGTACATTATTTGCACTTGCAGAGAAGTCAGTAAAAAATACATCATAAAATGCACTAAGAAAAGACTGATTCATCTCATAGCATTTCTTTTGAAGTCAGAATTCCATTTTTTAGTTTGAAATGACCGCTATATATTAATGCTGCAACCCTACATATTAATGTTGCCACTTATTTTGAGACATAATGAGTTTTATATTGCCAATGAAATCACTTCTTAAATGCCTATTTCCCATACATAATCAAAGCCACAGGGGAATAATTGATTCATATCACTAATGATTCCTTTTCAAGTGATTCTGTCAAGAATTTAATTATCTCTTGATTCCCCAAATTGTTTTTCCATTTTTGTCATCAGTGTAAGATTAATTTTCCAGCTACTCAACATCAGTGTTTGATTCAGTGTATAGGAAAATGTGTAATTACAGGGCAAGACCACTGTAGCCTTTTGGGACCAAACCTTCCACATGAAATGAGATATTTGAGTACACACATATATATGTGGATTGAAGGTGCCACTATTTCCATTTGGTCTTGCAATGTCCAAAAAAAATGTCTAAAAGTCCACACTTTACATTTTTACTTTTTTTTTTTTTAACTTTGGAAGAAATTTAGCCCAGGTAAACAGTGCTGCAGTAGGCCTAGGAAAATGCTTTTGTTTCAAAATCAAGCTAAAGTTTTGATAGGGGCGAGCTTATGTGGGTCTGTGGCTTCTTTGGCTCATACATTCATGACAGTGTGGGCACGTGTAAAGGTCTTAGTTTAATCTAAAGATGAAACTGGGAGAAATCTTTTCATGGAATATTTCTAAATTTGGCCAGGAGCCAATTTAAATGGAAGCATTTAAAAAAAAATTTTTTTAAAAATAAAAATAAAAAACCAACCAAAAAACCTTAACTAAATACAGAGAATCTTTGGAGGTTTTGAACAGGTAAAAATGCACGTTACTTCAATTTTACCTGAGTCATCTCACAAGCCCTTCCACTGTAGAAGCCACATTCAAGAGCTAATAACCCACAGCAAAGGTTTCCTGAGAGAATACCAAATTTTCTTTGAGATAACTATGATTTTAAAATAGAAACTGCCTAGTTATTCTATGAATTTATAAAGTCTTATGAATTTTCATCTTTGCTACATTTTTAATTCCATATCTGGAGATTAGATGTAAAGAAAGTGTTACAGATAGGGTGACATTTGTAGCTGATCAGCTCCTTGTGTCTCACTAAAAAAGGTGTTTAAGAATGCTCAGCAATATAGTTGACAAACCTGTTTATAGGAAGAGCTAAAGGATAATCTTTCCAAAGACCAGAAGTTCCTCTTTTTCAGGCCAAACTTGTAGGCTACTTCAGCTATAAAATTAGTGCAACATTTCTTAAAAATGTAATTTAGAATATTTATATGACTTTAGATCTGTTTCATTGGACTCTTCCAATCCATGCTGTGTGAAATTAAAGTCTACAAAATCAGGATGGCTACAGAAATAGGGAATGTGAATCAAAATTAGGGAGCTCTAGGGAAACCTTCTGGTCTCAAGTTTAAATAAGGCCATGGATAGTACCTTTGCATGCAATGCATAATTGAATTCCCATGCTCATTATTACAGGATATTGCATAAAAAATAAATTGAAAAGGAATTAGGTAGGTTAGCAAGTAGCAAAACTAATGCAACTTTAAAACTTTTGTCATGTAACTCAGAACATATTAATTTTTGATTTCAATAAGAGATGTTATGAAAGGGAAAGGATCATATTACTTCTACTTTTTCTTTTAAACATCTGTTATTGGACAGTGCCAAACAGCTACTTGGCTAACTGGATCTCTGGCTTAACCCAATAGTGCTACTTTTCTTTCATGTTCTGTTTATTCTGACCCAAAGACATTTATTTGTTCAGGCTCAGAGACATCACCAGAATCCAGGCTCTGTGAACACTTAAAGATATCAGACCAGTTAGAGATGGTAACATCTATATAGTAAGGAAAAGAATACAAAAACGGTTATAAACAGTTTCATTTCACCAAGCAAAGATTGTGCTTCTATTGTCTTGACCAAGCTCAGCCTCTGTCTTCATTTTTATAATTGTTATAGTGAACCTCAGCATTTTTTCTAATTGTTACTGATGGTGACTGGTGCATCAAATCCACTAAATACACTGCTTTGGTTCTCTACAGCCACTCTGCTACAGCAAAGGACAGGGCTTCCAGGACACTGGAAACATGTAAAATAAATTAAATTAAATTAAAGGAAGATAACATAGTTATGAATTCCTAAGCATGCATTTGCTTTCTCAGTCCTTGGGCTCACTGGTCTATGGATAATCAATGGGAAATGGAGCGGGCCAAAGGTTTATGTCTGATATTTTTGCTGGAGGAAGCTATATAAATTATGTAAGCACAAAATTCATTAAAAAGTATGTTTTACCTTTTATCTATGTTGAGCTCAAGATCATATCCCAGGTATCTTCTGATGCTCACCTTTGCACCAAAAGGAGCAGAGCATGTGAGTAGCTGTGAGCAGGGTTATGTATCTACCACAACAGCATACTGAGTTCTTGGTAACTCTCCCTGCCACAGGCTTCAGACTGAACAAACATAGCCTTTCCTTTTCTAATCCTAAACCCTGCAGTTGTTGAGGGCTTTTCAGATTTTTTAGTGAATCAAACAGTGTCAAGTGACAGAAATATTGCTGGGGGGAGAGAGATTAGCCAGTAATCCGCTTTTTTCTTAACTGTAATTACAACAGGTCTTTCAGGAGACAAAAATAGCACCTTTTGCTTTTCTCCCTGTCAGATCACACAGACCTCCTTGACTGTCTCTTGAAAATATTCTGAAGTTGAAATCATAGATCTCGGAAAGACTTTTAGCAACACCTCAGTTTTACTAATATTTATAGGTGTTGCCTGTTTCCAGAGATGTGTTGAAATATCAGCAAAAATGTAGATAAAACTTAATTTTAGACAGAGAACTGGTTTTTTTATACCACACGCCTTTACATTTCACATCTTATCTGGCCAGTGACTCCAGAATATTGTCTTATGTACAAATACTCTATTTCATTTCCCAATGAAATGAAAGTGATGTCCCCCCACAATTTCCATTTTTAATGTGTGTGTCAGAGTGTGGGGAGATATTCAGCCCATCTTTACTGGGAAGCATTCCCAGATGGGTGCCTGCCCTAGTGAGGATGCTCAGCAGGGTGCTGAACAGGGATGAGGTGCTTGCGAAGAAAAGGGACAGCCCCATTCTTCCAAAATCCCTTCCAGCTCTGTTGCTTATCAGCAGTGCAGGTCCTGTGCTGTGACCCACACCATACTGCTCCATCAGTACCCATTAGGGTTTTTTTCTATTGACTTAGCTTGTTATCCATAGTTCTTTTCAGATTCCAGTCAGATCACCTACATCACACTCACCACCTTTTCAGTGTCCTCCAAATGAATTTATTACGACAGTCAGAAGTTAGAATTTAACAATATTTCTTATGTGCAGATTCTGTTTACAGATCCCACAGATACCTGAAATATAACCTTGCTTTATTTGCACTGAGGCAGGAAAGGAAAAAGTGAAACCCGACTGAGATAGCAAATTTGGTATTGTGGGGTAAACAAAACCCTGTGCATATTTAATGCGCTTCTCCTCCAAGTGTCAAAATCCAGTGACCGACAGGACTTGATAGAAAGGACATCTTTTGGCACTTTATTAAGTATTTAAGGGG